CATTTATGGTCTCTTTAGGGTGTATTCCCAGTAGTGGAATTGCTAGGTCAAATGGTATCTCTATTTGCAACTTTTTGAGAAAGCACCACATTGCTTTCCACAGTGGTTGCACCATTTTGCACTCCCACCAACAGTGAATAAGGAAGGGTTCCAGTCTCTCCACAACCACGCCAGCATTTGTTGCTTGCTGTTCTGTTACATTTTGCTAGTCTTACTGGGGTGAGATGATATCTCATGGTTGTCTTGATTTGCATCTCTCTCAGAGCTAGGGATTTTGAACATTTCTTCATGTGCTTGTTGGCCATCCAGGCTTTTCTTCTAACAAAATAAAGACTTCAATAATCCATGAATGCACAGTAAAGTATCACTATACTTACAGGGAAAGAGAAGAAGAAAAGCAAAAACAGCAAAATTCGAGTTAAGAAATACGTATTTCCAAGATTTCCCCAAGAAAACTATACCAATCCAAACCAAGCACTTACTTACTTGCTAGAAAGGATTCAAATCATTTAAAAGTGTCATAATCACTATGTATCTGTTCTTTCCCCTCGGTAAGAGCTCAGGCTATGTCTTGTTTACCTGCATAGTTTTAGAACAGCCCAATGGTTTGCTTCAGTCAATGCTCAGGACTTATTAAATTAATTAATTGAATGGGTACAACTGAAAAAATCTTGTGTCAACATATATGTTCTCTATGTTTTTCATTTAACAAAGTCTCAGATATTTAGAAAATACAAAATTCTTGAATCAGAGAACATTGGCCAAGGCGAAACTAAGGTTTTACTATTTCTGTTTGTTTCTTTAAAGACTGTAGGGGATGTTTTTTGTTGAAGGTTTAGGAGAAATTGTTCAAGGTTTCATACAGTCTGGATAAATGGCTCCAGAAAGTCTGTCCTCTATGAGAGTTTGAAATTCTGCCCATATTTTCCCTCTTTTGATCAATATCCTTATTCCTATTGTGGTATAAAAAATACTAATAGACACAATTAATAATAATTTATTTAAGTACATTTCTTTGGTGACTTATTTTGTAGCACTTAGTATAATCAGTGGTTTTCATTTATGGCCTGTGTTACATTTATTTTTCATTTAAAACTTAGATCATTTTTACTTTCAGAATAAATGCTGACCACCTTACATAAAAATCCATAAAGTACAAAAGTTAAAGTATGGAGAAATAAACATATATGGCCAGCATTAAATAGTTAAGTAAGCACTAATATAGGTTAAAAAAAATCCAAAAATGGAATTGTGAAGAATTATAGTACCTTACCTATTACAAAAGAGAGGAGGGAAACTTTTCTGGCAGTAAATTTAAGGGAGAACTTATAACATCAGGTTGGGGGTTTTAAGGTTTTGGGGTTTTTTTCTTGTTGTGTTCTCCTCCTTCTCCAGCAGATCATCTGGTAGATTCAAACCACATACCTTCAGGATTGCAGCACAGCTTCTTGCTACCAGGCCACCAAAGCTCCCTTGACATCAGTTTATCTTAAACTTATATAATACAGAAAATAAAATGTGGTTTTAAAAAATTGTATGAGTTTCACTTTTGACAGTAAATAAAAGCAAACTGTAAAATTATAACTCAGTTTCTCAAAGAAATTATACTAATTAATGCCACCAGTTCCATTTTTAGTTTTACTAATTGTACTTGCTCACTCACTCATGGATATCAAGTAGGGGCTGATCCTAGCTGACCCTCCAGCAGGTTTTCAGAGCCTGTAAATCGCACAAGCTATTGCCTGTGTTCGCCTACAGAGCTAGTGGATTAGAAGCACTTGCCTTTGGGTTGGCAGCACAACTCCTTACCTGCTAGGCCATCAGAGCTCCCCAAAAATGGAACTGATATTATCAACCATAACTTCTTTGATAAATTACTAAGTTATAATTTAATGTTTTATTCTTATTAACATATTAAAAAGGAACTCTGAGTTGCACTGCTACTTTAAAGGGGATGCTTATCTGCCAATTCAAATCCACCAGCTGTTCCATGAACAAATGATAGGCAGTTTTCTCTAGTGTGATTTACAGCCTCCAAAAACCCACTGGAGGGTCAGCTATGAGTCACTTCCCACTCTAAGGCAATGGGCTGTGTTGTGTTTTGGTTTTGAGCATGGTAAAAACTACTACATGCCCTTGAAAAGTTACAACTTGTGAAACTAGACTTTTTCAGGCAAAATATATGCTGGGACCTAGCAACTTAGAAGAAGGTAAATATCAACTGCTCTTGGATAAAAAGAGGAGTGGAGTTTCATGTTCAGTTAACAAATAGACATGAAATTATGCATGTCAGTATATAATTTATCTATTTGTTTTTCATCTAGTACTTTGGAAGTGTTGCAGAAATAATCAAGAATCACCAACACAGTCCTCTGGTTCTCATCGACAGTCAGAATAACACAAAGGATTCCACGAGACTGAAATATGCAGTTAAAATTTAATAAAGAAAAAAACAGAGATCAACACATTGTTTCAGACACTTTTTTTTCAAACTTTCTACTTTGGAGAAAAATCTCAACATTCCCCATTTTGGATTGTGAATAGTCTTGTGAAAAATAGAAGATCGAAGTAACTATTGAAGTGGTTGTCGATTTCTTTATAAGAGGCTCATGTGGAACTGTCCCATCTATTTCCTGACATGATGAACTTTTACTATCTGGTGAGTTTGAGTTATGCTACTAATCATGTACAAATAAATTTTTATTTAAAGAACACAGGTATACAGCATTCTGAGTCATGTGAGAAAATACCACACTATTTTAAAATTTTTTTAAAAACTCAAACAAAAACTCCTGAGTGAAACAAAGCTGCTGAAAATGTAAGCCATCACAATGGTCACTGGTGCACTAATGTAGCTGGATGTCTACTGTCAATGCTTGACAATTATGCCTTGATTAACATTTTAATGTGTAGGAAATAAAAATAATATAAGTAATGTATGATATTTGTAAGTAGCAACCAAGACAGATGTAATAGTCCCAAACAAAGGACATATATATATGGATATAAATTTTTTAGAAACTATTGCTCAGGATAATATTGTTAGTTTTGCTTACTAAATATGATTGTTCCCTCTTTTATTTGTATGTTTCTTGAATGGGTCCTAAATGTGACATGAAGTTCAAAGTCAAACAAAACCAGTTCAAGTGAAGACATAGACATACCAATGAATAAGAGCAGAAGAGTAGACATGTATAAATACTAAGAAATAAAAAGGATACCATTTTGAGTAGCCACGTCCAGAAATGTATTACACTTGGTCATATAAAGTTTTTTCAACTCTGTACTTTAAGCAACATTAAAATTATGAAACTTCTGATTAAGACAAATCAAACAATTAAATGAGTTAATTTGATCATGGAATAAAGATGGCAATCTCTGAAAAAGTAATGAAAGGCTAGAAGGTAATGAGTTTACAGTAACCCACAGACTGGCCTGTAAAAATGATTCTATTTTTTTTTAAAAATGCTTTTGTGGGGGGAGTGGGAGGGGAGTGCTGGGCAAGGAGAAAAGTGCAACAATGAATGAATGGAATTCCAAAATCTCTGTAAATGTTCATTAAAATTATTAAAAGAAAATTTTAAAAAAAGGTACAGTTAGAAAAGGGATGAAATAAAACCCCACTGGTTATCAATGATGCCATGAAAGAAAAAAAATGCTTTTATATTATTGTTTAAAATATACACAACAATGGTTACTAGAGATGGAAAAGGAGAGAGAAAGGAGTAAAAATCAGTAAACAAATAAGTTTAAGGAAAGGAAAGGCAATACATTATAAGTGACTGATCAGCCTTTGTAAGTAGTTACATTAATCAACTATATTTAATGTTATAAAGCAAAATATGTGCATGACTTAATGAGAAACCAATATGGTTTATAAACTTTCACTCCAATAAAAAATATAGAAAAGAAAATCTACATGGTAGAACATACTATAATTCAACAGTTTCCACATGTACATATAGTTCATTGACAATTATTGCATGCTTCATGTTATATCATGATTCTCACTCTACTTTTCCAAATTACCCCTCCTGTAATAAAACAGCATCACTGTTCTCTAAGCTTCAGTGACAGGAACAGATGCAACAAGAGGGTTGCTGAGTCTGAATTCTACCCACTTCATAAAGGGGGATTGTCCCCATCAATAATATCCATAGTACCAAAATAGCTACAAGGTCAGACATGTCACCCTGCAATGCTCCTGCACCTTTTCCTACTGATCATTGGGTCCAATGTTTGTTGCAAGACTCACAGATTTTACTCACAGTTGTGGAATTTATTAGGAAAATAGGTTGGAGAGTGGGGGAGGCAATGAATATCTCACAATGCAAATCCAGCCATCCCAATCAGATTAACAAGGCACAATTCCTCAGTTAGTGAAAGTTCATGTTCAGTTCAACAACACAAATGCAAGAAGCCTCTGATTTCTTCAATCACCCAACAAACTATCTCAGAGCAGTTATAAATCAGCTTTCCCTTCAATAATCCAGCAAGCAAAACCTTTAACTCTGCCTCCATCTCCAGGGTTCTTCTGGTTATACCTTGCCACAGGCTCTGCACCCTCCCTCCACCACTGTCTTTCACAGGATGGAAAGTGTTCTTTAATCTTGATCCCACAGCTGTTGATGATTTGCAAGACCATGTGTCCACAGTTAAGGTAGCTGGAAACCATGACACTCCTCCCAAAGGGGGCTAACACATTGTCTACAAAAGACAATTTTTAAGGGTTCTGACACCCCAACTTCTTATCTAATTTTTTGGAATTATTGTTACTTTCGGTAAAACTCTGTGGAGAAAGATGGCAGTCTCCTCCCTGAGATTTACATTCTCCAAAACCTGCCAGGAAAGTCAGCTATGAGTAGGTTTGCCTCATTGGCATTCAGTTGAGTTGGGTTTGGTGGGAGTGTACGATGGTGGCAAGAATCACTATGGAAAGTAGTTTGGTTCTTCCTTAGAAAACTGAAAATAGGAATACTATTTGATCTAGCAGCACCACTACTAGATAGATATATCAAAGAAATGAGCTGTGACATAAATGTATATATGTTCACTTATATGTAACACATACAGATTGAATAGGTACAGAGAAAGGATACAACTCTGATCACACTTTTTCTGTTTCCTTGTTCTGTTAGAACACCAGCTTCTTGGTCTATGTATAGGTTTTTCATGAGTTCAGTTTAACTGAGTTAAATGGGAATCTTGTATTCCTATTCTTCTCAGTGTTCATAATTAATAATTTGTTATTATCCACATAGTCAAATGTCTTTGCACAGTCAATAGAACCCAAACATCTTTCTAGTATTCTGTGCTTTCAGTTATTATCTGTATGTCATCAGCAATGTTCTGCAATCTCTCCTTAATCCATCTGCATTTCTGGAAGTTTTCTATCGATAGACTGTTCCAATCATTTTTAGTAATATTCAGCAATGTTTTCCTTGTATGTAGTAGTAATGATATTTTTTGATAGTTTACACATTCTGTTGGACTATTTATTATTTTTTTAAATGAGAAAAAAATTTGGATCTATTCTAGTCAGTTGGCCAGGCAGATGTCTTCCAGATTTCATGAAACAGACTATATGAAGAAGGTTGTGGCATCAGGATTGGAGGAAACTCACCAACAACCTGCAATATGTAGATGGCACAACCTGGCTTGCTCAAAGTAAAGAAAACTTGAAACACTTGCTGCAGAAAATCAAAGACTTCAGCTTTCAATATAGATTACATTGCAGCAATAAGAAAATAAAAATTCTTGCCATTAGACCAGTAGGCAACATCATGATACATGGAGATTGAAGTTGTCAATGATTTAATTTTACTTGGATTCACAGTCAACACCCATAGTAACAGCTGACAAGAAATTAAAAGGCATGTTACACTGGGAAAACCTGCTGGCAAGGACTTCTCAAAGGTGCTAAAGAGTATCAATGTCAGTTTAAAAACGATTGTATACCTAATCCAAAACTATAATATTTTCAACTGCTTCGTACGCTTGTGAAAGATGGACAATGAACAAGGAGGGCAGAAGAAAAATTAATGTGTCTGAATTGTGGTGTTGGAGAAGTGAACACTCCGTGGACTGCCAGAAGAGCAAGCGTGACTTAGAGGAAGTGAAACCAGGGTGTTCCTTAGGGGCAAGCATGGTGAAACATCCTCTTACAGACCCTGCACATTTTGTCAAGACCGGTGAGTCTTTGGGAAAAGACATCACGCTGGGAAGGGTGGAGGGTCAGAGAAAGAGAAAAAGTCCCTCAATGAGATGGACTGACTATAAAAATGGGCTCGAGCTCATATATGAGAGACTGGGAGGATGCAATGGAATACTGAGCGGCATTGAAAAACAAGAAACTCATGAAATATTTCACAAAATGGGTGATCATGGTGGACATACTGAGTGTTCAGGCACCAAAAGACAAATACGATATAAGGTATAATGCCACTGTTGTAAAAGATGACTGACATAAGAGTTGAGGGCAGACTAAGAAAGATGGGATAGTGCTCGCTTCGGCAGCACATATACTAAAATTGGAACGATACAGAGAAGATTAGCATGGCCCCTGCGCAAGGATGACACGCAAATTCGTGAAGCGTTCCATATTTTCGACCCTGAAATGAACCAGTCTCTAACGAAGGCTAACTCCTAACTCCTTTCACCTACAAATTTCGTCTTTGGATACAAAGCTAAGTGGATAGTCCTTACCGAGGGACTGTTTCAAAAGAGGCAGGGAGAAGAAGAGGGGGAAAAAAAAAAAAGAAAGATGGGATAAATAATGTATATACTGCATTAAAACAGATGAGAGAGAGAACTGTTTAAAAGGGACATATGATTGGATATTGTTGTGACAAGAGTCCAGAATGAAAGTAGCATGGTGGAGTGGACTTATGGGGAGGGATTGAATAACAATGAAATAATTTTTTTTTTTTTTACTTTTCAAAAAGAAAAGCAAATTGGAGGAGGGGTGGGCAGGGAGAAAAGTGCAACAATGAATGAATGGAAATCCAAAGTCTCTGTAAACTTTAATTAAAATAAATTTAAAATTAAAAAAAAGATTGCGAGGATGGTGCAGATAGGTAAGGTTCAGATCTGCTGTTCATAGGGTCACTATCAGTCGTAGTTAACTCAATGGCATCTAACAGTAACAACAACTTGTTTAATGCAACATTATTTATAATAGCAAAGAGTTGGAATCAACTCAAATGCCCATCAACAGACAGATGGCTCAAAGAAACTATGGTATATTCACACAATGAAATATTATGCACCTGCTGCAGAGGGTCAAGGACTGCAGCCTCCAATATGGATTGAGGCTCAATGTCAAGAAGACAAAGATTCTAACCACTGGACCAACTGGTAGCATCAGGATGGATGGTGAAGAGATTGAAATTGTTCACAGCTTTAGTTTGCTTGTCTCCACAGTCAACTCTCGGCACCAGTA